TTCTGGGGAATAAACTTTTAAGCTGAAAGAGCATTATAGTATGTTTCCCAAACTCACAAGTTTGAAAATTATCAATATCAGGTAAAATCTAAGGTTTCCACAGCCACAATCAACGCTTACAATTTTCAGTGAAAAAAAATTTACCATTCCCGTCCTAGATTTCAGAACAAAATAATATTTACATTGTCATTGACTCAGATTGCAGCTGCACCTTTTCACAAGATACAGCCAAAGCAAGATGTATATGATCCGATCAATAGAACACCCTATAAAGCAAAATCCCATCATTCTTGTACACAAGTAACTATAAAGCAATAAGACTGGAGAATCTCAAGTAATCAACAACTTCAATAACGATGAAAAGATTAGGCAACACCTACAAGAATAGAAAAAGATTAAACACACAAAACTTACGCATTGTGCAAATGTCTAATCCATGGGACGAATTCAAGCACGTGAAGAGGTTTATCCAGAGGCTCCATTCAGGATTCAGGAGATGTGAGGCCACCATAATCATGGCTAGAAAGAGAAACTGGAAAAACAAAGGATAATAGCGAGCCAAGATCAGGAAGGATCTGACACCAAGGGCCATCAGGTTGAAGCACCCAACTAGATATATAAGACACATTTACATCCTTTCAATGTAGGGATTTAGATAATGTTTGCCACTTTGACTCCATTTCCTTTTCTTTTTCCCTTCCCCCTTCCACATCCTTTTGTTATAAATTATATTGAGGGAAGAAGAAAAAGAATTTAATTGACAATTATAGACATTACAGAAAAAAGAGGATAGTTATCATGCTTTCGAGTGGCCTGATTCACTCCCAAGAGCTAAACAAAGCTAAAATGACCCTTCAATATTCTGGATGCCTTTCTCTATGCCTAGTCTCCCTTATTTATAGTAAAGTTAATTCTCTCCCTCTACCAGCCAACTATCTTCCTCTTCAAGATACAACTAACATAATTACATTAGACTACCTATAATTCTCCACCTTTGGGTTAGTTCATTACACCTTCCAATGTAGTATTTGAGATAATGTTTGCAATTTTGCTTTGCTTTCCCTTTCCTCTCCCCTTCCCCTAGCCACTCCTCCTTTGTGGTAGTCTGGATGCTTTAGATTAATGGGGTCTTTACACCAATTTGTTTCCTTCTCCTTATTCCTATTTAACTACTACAACAGGTTTTACTGAAAAGAGAGATAAATGGTGGCGATGGTTGCTTATATCCTTTCAAAGAACAAAAAAAACTAAGGAAATATTCCTCATCCTAATAAGCACTAGCCACTACCAATTATGTTATTACTTCAATTTTAGTACTAACTCGGTTTCATATTATTTGCTATAATTGGATATTTTCTACTAACACTTTATATCAAATCATTGCAAATAATATGAAACAGATGCAATATTTCTCTTTGTAGCTGTTTACCTATGGCTGTGAGGCTGTGAGTCCAACCATTTTTGCCAAATTCATGCAAGATGACAAACTGATGGTGCGTGGTGGGTGTTCTTTGCTTTTCTCAGAGAAATCAAAACAAAATAAACTTTTAAATGACATCATTACCAAAAATTAAAGATAACACTAGCATGAACCCAATTACTGTATACCAAGACCATTTTATTAGTTGAACCAATTCTCTTATATTAGTTAAACTTTGTACCTTATTCTTATAATATATACATATAAAATTCTTATCACATGGGATCTTGAGAGATTTGTCCTTCTGTGTATCTTCAAAATTGTAAAATTTAACATGCGAAGCTAAAGTTAAATATGGCCAAAGGCACACATTAGAAACCGCAAAAACAAAATGGTGCAACTACAATAACAGAGCTACAGAAGTATGTTCTATGGGGAGGTACAGGTATCCAACTCATATAAGGGAGACAATGAAGAAAGAATAGAAAGACTAAAAAAGAAGATAGTGAGGCAGCAGGTGACAAACTCACAATAAAGAAGAATGGAAGATATATATTTAAGAAATATAAATGAGCTCCATTGGAAAGGCAGGGGCATTACCGCACTTCCTATGTGCCAAAAACTATAAACAGTAATTAATTTCGACCTCACTATAAACAATAAACCGTTTTCTTGATGACCATTAGTTCCACAACCCAAAATCTAATAATCCTTCCAAAATAATTTGTAAACCTTCAATCAAGATGAACTCTACTGTCTCCACATAGCCACACAAGAATACAACTTCATTCCGCCTTATGACCTATGGCGGTTAAGTTACTCACTGAAACTGAAGCAGGAAAGCAATCATCTTGGGATGAGAAAGAACTAAGCAGGTTTCTTTCTAGACCTCTAAAGATCAAGTATGGTATTATATTTCACAATCAATCATTAAAAGGTTCAAATGATTAGCAGCCTGATATGCATTAAGAAAAGAGATCATGTATTACATTTTTCATGAGTGTCAGAAAGTAATCATCTAAAAGAAAAGGGGGAGACATTGATTAGTAAATAGTATCTGTTGTGCTGCAAAGTAATAATTGTTCACTTAAACTTTACACTATTCACATATCCCACTTTGACCATACTTTTTTTACTAATACAACATAAAACATGTTATAGTCCATTCTGTCCCTTATAGACATCATAAAAACATGTTACAGCCCTTACAGGACCATTGATTTCCAAATAAAGTCTAAAACCAGGGAAGCATTCTGATTGGACACTTTCAAGGAAGTTAGGGAGTTAGTGACAGTATGAAAAAATTATAATATATATAAATAAGGAAGTTATCCTGCTTACTTTATACTTTGCCAACTACATTCATGTGATGTAGTTGGCAAAGTATATGAAGAAAGGGAACCCAATCTATTTCTATAGTGTGAGAAACTTGGAGTATGAGGAACCATCTAAACTTGAGGATATTGAGGTGGTGAAGGAATTCTTAGATGTGTTTCCAAAAGAGATTGCAGGTATGCCGCCAAAAAGAACCATAGACTTTACCATAGACTTAGTACCTGGAACAACACCCATCTCTAAGGCACCATATAGGATGGCACTTGCAGAGATAAGTGAGTTAAAGGGACAACTAAAGGATTTGTTCAAGAAGGGGTACATACGACCAAGTGCATCACCATAGGGAGCTCCTGTATTGTTTGTGAAAAAGAAAGATGGTAGCATGAGGCTATGCATCGATTATAGGGAGTTGAACAAGGTAACCATAAAGAACAAATACCCTTTGCCTAGGATAGATGACTTGTTTGACCAGTTGAAGGGTGCAACAGTGTTTTCTAAGATTGATTTAAGGTCTGGAAATCATCAACTACGAATTGCGGAAGAGGAAAATCCGAAAACAGCATTTAGGACGAGATATGGACACTATGAGTTTACAGTAATGCCTTTTGGGTTGACAGATGCACCTGTAATTTTTATGGACTTGATGAATAGTGATAACACGTTTATATATTCATTTTATATGTTATATTTGCGGGTTTTTATCATGTTTTCTACATAGTTTTAATCTTTTAGAGCTATTATTCTTTATATTTCGATATTGTTCTCCTTGGTTTGTTTTATTTTGATTTTTGTAGGAATTGGGCTAGATTTGCTAGAGGTTTGCTTTGATCGTGATTCGACTTGTTAAAGGGAGAAATTTACATACAATAATGGACATGGCAGCCACCTCCACGGCTTGCCTGTGGGCGTACAACTCTCTCCACGGCCATCCTGTGGCCAACTCGTTTTCACATGGCAAAGAGTAGCTCTGGCAGCCTTCTCCACGACCTGCCTGTGGTCGAACACAGCTCTCCACAGCCTACCCGTGGTGGCTCTTAATTGCTGCGTTTTAGGACTTTAATTATGTAAATTTAGAGTCCTAAGCCCACTAAAATTCCTAGGATATATATAGACTAATAACAAGATAGAAAGGGGAGACTTTTATCATCACAATTATTCCAATTTATACGTTGGTTTTTCTTGTTCTTCCAACTTTGTTCCATTGAAGATTAATTCAAGTTCTCCATTAATTCAAGTATTTCTTCTTCTCTTTCTTTCTTATTATTATTATTGTCATTATGTTTTCTTTCGTTAATTATTTCGTTTATTTAATCAACATGTGTGAGTAGTTTTATAATCTAGAGTTAGGTTTATTTGGATTAATACGTTGTTTGATTCTCAATCCCATATTTATTTTAATTTATAATTCCTCTTTATTAGGGTTGGTTTTATCATCAATGATTAACTAGAAATAGTATTATTGAATGTGATTAGGTTTACAATGAAAGTTGATTCTTAATCGATTTTAGAACCCTAATTAAAAGTAAGAATCTTTATGCATGAAAATAGCTAATTATTCTTGCTAGGACTTATGGGATGCTGTTCTTAATGTCTTTAATATGTATGACTCCATGAAAATAGGTATGATTGCATATTAGGGAAGCTATTAGTCGATCGAAAGAAACTCTTAGTATTTGTTGTAGGGAGCACCCGTCCTGTGGAATATCATTGATTTGATTGTGGGAAAGGGATTATTTTGACGTATTGATCTATATTAGTGGGGATTCCTAATTCTAGGTGTTTTAGTTTATAATAATCTTCGTGTTAATTTATTTTCTTAATATTCCGTAGTTAGTAGTTAATACTCTTCATCTTTGAATTTGTTACTTGCTTAGTAATAACTTGAGTCTAGATAGTTTAGGTGAACCATAGTCTCTGTGGGATCGACCCTGACTTACCCTGCTACATAATTAGGAGGTCTAGTTAGGTATTATTTTTGTTAGGTGTGCGACCGCCTATAAATTTTTGGCGCCGTTGCCGGGGACAAACGGTTTCATTAGATTATTTGTGATTCGTTTTTGCTAGGCTTATTTCGTTGCTTCGGCTATTTTCTCTTGTGTTTTTGATACTCTTTCTCTAGTTTTCTTGTTGCATACCCACACGAAGCTCAGGTTCGTAAGATCTAGCACCTTTTGATTCTGAAATCGAAGCAACCGCAAGAAGACGTGCAGGTAGAAGAAGAAGGAGAAATCAAACCAATAGAAACATGGTAGACCAACCAACGAAATCCCTTTTGGAGTACGGTATTCCTGATACGACTACCGGAATCCTTTCTAGCATCGTAAGACCACCTGTGACGGCTCAGCACTTCGAGCTCAAGCCGCAATTCATCCAGTTCATCTCCAATGATTCATTCGCAGGGCTACCATATGATTGCCCAGTAAGTCATATTGATAGCTTTTTTGAGAAATGTGATACCATGAAGATGAATGGTGTTACAGACGATGCTCTTAGACTTCGCCTTTTTCCTTTTTCATTACGGGATAGGGCAAAGGAATGGCTGAGAGATGAAGGTTCTGGCTCATTTGACACATGGGACAAATTGGTGAAGGCTTTCCTAGTTAAGTTCTTGGGACAGGAAAAGACTGCAAGGTTGAGAAACGAGTTATCCACTTTCAGGAAGTCAGATGATGAGTCCCTATATGACGCATGGAGGAGATTCAAGCGTTTGCAGAGACAATGCCCTCACCATGGTATTCCTGAATGGATGTTGATCCAAACTTTCTACAACGGTCTAACTCATGAGTTCCGAATCTACATTGATGCTGCATCTGGGGGCTCTCTCTTGACAAAGAACCCCACTGAAGCAAAGGAGCTTATAGAGAAGATGGCAGCCAACAATAATTATCATCTAGGAGGCCGAAACACTGTGAAAAAGGGAGGTAAACTTGATGTTGATGCCTTAACTATGCTAACCAGTTTTGTGCAGGCACTAACAAGCAGGTTTGATAAGTTCCAAGCTGGAACCTCTACTAGCCCACAGGAGTTGTGTCAATTGTGTAATGTGCAGGGTCATATTACACCAGATTGCCCGCAGATTTCGCAGAACACAGAGGAGATGTCAATCGAGCAGGCCAATGCTTTCTACTCCTCTAACCCCAAAAGGCCCTATGACCCCTATTCCAACACCTATAATGAAGGATGGAAACACCATCCTAACTTTTAATACAAGAATACCCAAGCACAACAAAATCCACCTCAACCCAACAACTACAACCAACCACCACCTGGCTTCCAACAAAGACCACCCAACACCCAATAACCAATGCAACCACAACCTTAGAAATCTAGCCTTGAGGTGACGTTAGAGAGCTTTATAACCGCAACAAATAGTGCCATCCAACACCAAAATAGCTCTATCCAACAGTTGCAGGCCCAGAGTAAACTCATGGAAAACCAGATAAGCCAACTTGCCAATCAAGTTAGCCAATCTTTAAAGATTCCGGGAACTTTTCCGGCCAGACAGAACAACCTCAAAAAGGCCAAATGAATGTTACCCTGAGGAGTGGAAAGCAATTGGAAGATCCTCCTACCAAGGAGCCATCAAGGGAGGTCGTTGAAGAAGCAGGTGCAAGTGAGAAGGAAGTTGACAACTCTAGGGTCGAGGATGAATTAAAGGAAGCACCACAAAAGCCACTTGCTTCGTATGTGCCTAAGGTTCCTTTTCCTCAAAGGTTAGCCCAAGCTAAACTTGAGAAAAAGTTCAGTAAGTTTCTTGATATTCTTAAAAATCTTCATATTAACATTTTTCATTTTTAGATGCCATATCTGAGATGCCTTGTTATGCAAAATTCTTAAAAGATATGCTATCTAACAAGAAAAATTTAGAAGAGAATACTACAGTTTCTTTGAATGTAGAGTGCAGTGCTATTTTGCAGAACACTCTCCCTAAGAAATTAGGAGATCCAGGTAGCTATTCGATTCCAGTGAAGCTTGGGGATATCGAAATCAACAGAGCATTGTGCGATCTTGGTGAAAGTGTGAGCCTCATGCCACTGTCCATATGTAAGAAGCTGCAAATGGGTGAACTCAAACCCACACGCATATCCCTGCAACTTGCAGACATGTAAGTGAAGTTTCCTTTGGGTGTACTTGAGGATGTACCTCTTTGTGTAGGTAAGTTTTTCATACCCTGTGATTTTTGTTGTGATGGAGATGGATGAAGATGTGAATGTTCCAATTATACTTGGTAGACCTTTCTTAGCTGCCGCAGGTGCAATTATTGATATGAAGAAAGGTAAGATTACTTTTGAAGTAGGTGATGAGAAATTGGAATACTCACTTTTGAATGTTATGGGTGCTGCCTCTATGGGAGATATTGTTTGTCAGGTTGATGTGCTCGATGAGCTGCAAGGTGAGCAACTCCCTCTGAATCAAAAAGATGATGCCCTTCAGCAAGTGCTAATAGGGAAGGAAGATGATGATGGAGATTGGGAATCAAGAGAGTATGTCAGGCTGCTTGAAGAAGCAAAGGCCGACCCGAGCGTGAATCCAATCAGAGAGACACTGAATGTAATGAGTATTGGGGAGAGTACTAAGCCTCCCGAGGTAGAGTTGAAACCCCTCCCCTCTAACTTAAAGTATGCATATCTTGGTCCAAACAATTCATACCCTGTTATTGTTAATGCTGAACTCAAGGACACAGAATTGGAGCAACTGCTCAATGTTCTGAAAACATATAAAAGTGTTATTGGGTACACCATTGATGATATCAAGGGTATTAATCCTTCTTTCTGTATGCATAAAATCATTCTTGAAAACGATCATGCCTCTTCTGTAGAACCTCAAAGAAGACTTAATCCAAATATGATGGAGGTAGTGAAAAAAGAGGTTCTGAAATTGCTTGCTGCAGGAATAATCTACCCTATCTCTGATAGCAAGTGGGTTAGCCCTGTACAAGTAGTACCAAAGAAGGGAGGTATGACCGTTGTCAAGAATGACAAGGGTGAGCCAGTCGCCACTAGGACTGTTACAGGGTGGCAAATGTGTATAGATTATAGAAAATTGAATAAGGCCACCCTGAAGGATCATTTCCCCCTACCCTTTATTGATTAAATGCTTGAAAGGTTGGCAAAGCATTCCTTTTTCTGTTACTTGGATGGATATTCTGGTTTCTTTCAAATTCCCATCCGTCCTTGTGACCAGGAAAAGACTACTTTCACATGTCCATATGGCACCTTTGCATATCGCAGGATGCCATTTGGACTATGTAATGCCCCTACCACTTTTCAAAGATGTATGATGGCAATTTTCTCAGGACTCATAGAAAATTCTATGGAAGTATTTATGGATGATTTCTCTGTCTATGGAACAACCTTTGATGTATGTCTTGAAAATCTTAAAAAGGTGCTCCAAAGATGTAAGGAAGTCAACTTGATTTTGAACTGGGAAAAATGCCATTTTATGGTGCAACAGGGAATTGTCTTAGGTCATGTTGTATCTAATAAGGGTATTGAGGTAGATAAGGCTAAGATAGAGGTCATAGAGCGTTTGCCCCCTCCAAACTCTGTAAAAGGAGTTCGAAGTTTCCTTGGTCATGCAGGTTTTTACCGTCGTTTTATTAAGGATTTTTCGAAAATTGCTCGACCTCTAACTGAGCTTTTAGCTATGGATGTTCCATTTGTCTTTACTGATGCTTGTCTTGAAGCTTTTAACAGGTTGAAGGAAGCTTTGATCTCTGCTCCTGTTATGCAACCCCCAGATTGGGCCTTACCGTTTGAAATCATGTGTGATGCTAGTGATTATGCGGTAGGGGCCGTTTTGGGGCAACGAAAGGATAAAAAGCTTCATGTTATTTATTATGCTAGCAAGACTCTTAGCTCGGCTCAAATGAATTATGCCACAACTGAAAAAGAGATGCTAGCTGTTATTTATGCAATTGACAAATTTCATTCCTATTTGGTTGGTTCTAAGGTTATCATTCATACAGATCATGCAGCACTGAGGTATTTGATGACCAAAACCCATGCAAAGCCTAGGTTGATTCGGTGGATCCTTCAATTGCAAGACTATGATATAGAGATAAAGGACACAAAGGGGACTGAGACTGTTGTCGCAGACCACCTCTCCCGCCTTCTCCTCGACCCCGAGGATGAGGACGATATCCCTTTTGATGATTTTTTTCCTGCTGAACATTTATTAGCTCCTTTGAAAACTGAATCACCTTGGTATGCTGATTTGGCTAATTTTCTGTCCACAGGTACAATGCCTCATGGCTACTCATCTTAACAAAGGAAGAAATTCCTTTATGAGGCGAGGAGACATTTCTGGGAAGATCCTTTCTTGTATAAGAAATGCGCGGATTCTATAATCCGACGATGCATACCGGAGAATGAGGTTGATGATATTATTTCTCATTATCATGACTTACCGTGTGGTGGACATGCAGGTCCTTCAAAGACAGCCGCAAAGATCTTGCAGTGCGGTTTTTATTGGCCAACGATGTTCAAAGATGTATATTCCTATGTCAAGGCATGTGATCGATGTCAACGGACGGGCAATATTTCTAGGAGGAATGAAATGCCACTCAACAACATACTCGAGGTCGAGTTGTTTGATGTGTGGGGGATAAACTTCATGGGACCATTCCCTTCTTCCTATGGAAATCGATATATTCTAGTGGCCGTTGACTATGTCTCAAAATGGGTCGAAGCAATTGCTACTCCAACCAATGACGCTCGCGTGGTAAGTAAGTTCTTCAAGAAAGTTATTTTCCCTCGTTTTGGTTTACCACGTGTTTTGATCAGTGACAGGGGAACACATTTCACGGAGCATCGGTTTGAAGCAATGTTGAAGAAATATGGAGTACAACACAGACTTGGCATTCGCTATCACCCATAAACTAGTGGCCAAGTTGAAGTGTCAAATCGAGAGATCAAGTCCATCATCGAGAAAACTGTCGCACGAACAAGAAAAGACTGGTCTGTGAAGCTAGATGATGCATTATGGGCGTACCGAACGGCGTTCAAAACTCCAATAGGTACAAATCCATATAGACTTGTTTATGGAAAAGCATGCCACCTACCTGTTGAGTTAGAGCATCGAGCATACTGGGCCATCAAAAGCCTTAATTTCGATGCCAAGGCAGCCGGTGAGAAGAGATTGTTACAACTTAATGAGTTGGATGAACTTCGACTAGAAGCCTATGAAAACTCGAAGTTATACAAGGAAAGGACGAAGAAGTGGCATGATAAGCATATTATGAGGCGAGAATTTCATGAAGGAGAACTAGTATTGTTATTCAATTCTCGATTGAAATTGTTTTCTGGAAAACTTCGATCAAGGTGGTCAGGCCCATTTCAGGTTCGAAAGGTTTTCCCCTATGGTTCAGTTGAAGTTTGGAGTGAAGCTACTGGTTCTTTTAAGGTGAATGGGCAACGTCTCAAGCACTATCGAGAAGGCGAACCCATTGAAGCAAAAACGGTTTTTACCGTTTTTGATCCTACTTCGAACTGAACGAAAAGGTGGTCGAGCTTAAAACCTTATAAACAAGTGCTTTTGGGAGGCAACCCATTCTTTTCTACTCTTACTAAGTTTTTATTTATTTATTTTTTTTTTAATAAAAAAAAAACGTAGAGTAGCCCTTTTTTTTTTTTTTTTTTTTTTTTCCTATAGCTGTAGTTTAGTGGAGTATGATTCCTTTTTTTTGTTTTTATTGGGTTAGGAAGTAACGTGGAGTAGCCTAATCTAGCGTTTTTCATCTTTTTTTTTTATTTTTTATTAATTCTTTTAACTCCTTTTCTTAGTTTTCTTTGCCTTCATCTCTAATAGCGTGTAATTGCAGGAGGAGCAAGCATAGTGGAGCCTAATTTTGGTGATTACGGTATAGTCCGCAAGTAGGTTGCGGCAACTCATCTTCTACGCAGCCTTGTTGCGGCAACATCTTCATCGTATATCAAAATCAGAGCAGTTCGCAGCCACCCCGCAGTGAAAAGCAGCCAGCCACGGACAGCCTGTGGCTGAGTACTTCATGAAATAAAAAAATAAACAAAAAAAAAAAAAAAAAAAAAATTTGAAAAGCTGAAGGGAAAAGGCAGCGTGTTCCACATGCAACCCGTAGCCTACACTTACAGCCCACAGCCCACCTGTGGTGCAAACTGATATCCTCTCTAAAATAAAAAAAAAAAATTAATAATAATAATAATAATAATAATAATAAAAAGAAGG